TGGACGAAATTTTATTGCAAGACTCACATCGTGATGCTATTAAAGAAGATGAAAAAAATGTGGAAGAATTTTTCATCCAATATCGTTCAGCTATTTTGAAATCCAATTTTCGTCATATACTGTCAATTTGTCGAAAAGAATTCTAGAACTTGATATCGATTTCTATATCGATATCTATCCTATGCAAATGTACATGCATTTTTTAACTTTGGGTAACGCATATATGTAGATATAAATACTTATGTACTTGATCAGTAGGCTTATCGTTCTCATCTTTACGTTTACCCCACCTTCTTGCGCGAGCCATCGTGAGAAGCGTCTTATCAGCTCGGTGGATTCAGATAGTCCTACGGCAGCAGGGCTATAACCCCGTCGACATTAAACTCGCTATATTGGATTTCGCGAAATTCGCACTCCTCGTCAACCGTGAGGAACCCTCGTCTTTCTCCAGTAGCAAATAGTATGCGTATTATATCTGTAGTTTATCTTATGTTTATTAAATAAACTTGTCACGCGCTTATAACTTCGATGAGCTAATCTGGAATTTCTCACGAAAAACGATCGAGAAAAATTGAAATTAATCTCACAAAAACTTTAATGTTTCATATTTCCTGTTTCCATTAAGTAAACATATTACATTATCAACTTATGTTATAGCATTCGCATTTATTATTTATTTAATATGAGAATTCTCATATCTGGGCCAATATTTCATTGATCTTACAGATTATCTAAATAATCTTCATGATTATTATACTTGTGTCTTGTGGAAGGAAGAGTTTGAGATAGAGATTACTAGAGGGCGGCGGCGGTAATAATTAAAAGTGCGGCGGAGATTCTTAGAAGAAACCCGAGATCTGCTATTAAGCTCCCCATGCAACTGTTACGCATGCATAGAATATGCACGCACACATACATTCGCACGCTGACCATAAAATCGCCCTCGATTCCTGTTAATATGACGTTACGTCATTGAGCATTAGGCCCTCATTCGTGTTTGTCAAGAGCAAACTATAGAGGCCACAAGAAATATTCTCTGCCCATAGGATAAACAAATAAAAATTTATTGCATTTTTTATTTATTTCTTTTGTTTATTTCTTTTAACGTCTAGGATTTTATTTTATATTATGTTAAATAGTGCTCCGAGAATAATAATAATACGCATAATTAAGATTTTATTACCATAAATTTTATTTTTTTCTATTCTGAAAACATATTTTCTAGTGAGTCTAAAATTGTAATTTTATTTATTTAGGATTTTATCAATATTTGTTGACCATCGGACGCATTGTGTATTTTTTTTTTTTTTTTTCACTATTTCTGTAACCTCTCCTAGTTTGTCGAAGGAAGGTTCCTTCCGCCTCACCACCATCGGTCGTTTACATTGCGAAACGCATTAGCGAGACGGATCGTGCGCATCGTTGCACCGGGCGTGCAATTACATGCAGCGCGTGCCCATTTAATACCGTTTCCTTTACGTATTAATGGTTTACAAAGTACCCGATTGCACCTGGTACACAACCATCCAGGATACGCGTAACCAGTTTCACAGAGAACGGTCTCTCGCTCCTGATGCACTCGTATTGCATTGGACGTTCCATCGCACTTAGCTGATGCACTTAAGACGTATCCTCGTGCCCGTTGAGCTCGTGTCAGACGTACGACACATCCTAAGACAATCGAAACCGTTAGACGCGACTCTCATTCACCGGTATTTACATTGCCGATGTAAAATGCACGCGGGTTTATCGCGCGTGCAACTCCTACTTGCGATCGAAAATGCATATAAGCTAGGGTAAAATTACAATATATTTTCTGGATTTTTTGATATAGTCAATTTAAAACTTGATACTTTTGTTAAGGAATTTTTTATTACGGAATACTCGAAAAGATATTCGCCGTGCACTGATTAAAAAAATCTAGGTTCTATTCGTAAAATAGTTTTTCATCTCTCTTCCGTCATTTTACAATTTATTCGGAAATTAATTCCATCTTCTTTTACATCATTGAAAATATTTTTGTTTCGATTGTCGTCGATAATACCAGCCCGTCCTTTCGTGTCATAACCTACCTTAACGTTATGTAAATATAAATCGTTTAAGCAGATTTATTGAAAGGTCAGGCCACGTCGGGTGTCGGGTTCACCATTAGCCTGCAAATTTCATATTCGTCACAACCCTACTGGCGATCAAGAGTAATATGCTGGATATGCATTTTTACACGCGAGTCGCAGTTTTCATTTAGCCACTCACGTGCTAATAACGTGCATGCCGTGCACGTGTGATATAAAATACTAAATTCTAGAAAAATTTAAGCTAATATTAGAGAATAAAGAATTAAATTAATTCTATCACACACGCAAGCATCGCTTGTACTTCCTAGATATATTTATTTCTAATATCCATAAAAAATTTGCTTTTTTTTTTCGTTTAAAATTTCAAGTTTAAGTCGTTGATGTACATTTAAACCATAAATATTGTCAATTGTCAATCCATGTCATATTTAATTAAAATTTTTCGCATATATCTTCATTCTCTTTATATCTCTGATTTAACACTTAGCATGTCACAGATCTCTCTTTTCGTGTTTAATTTTCGATGAAATTGTACGCGCTTATCGATGTTTCTATCTTTCTTTGTCGATCGGCGGTGAGTTGGATACCACGTGAGAAGCACCTCGACAATCTTCGACATCGCGAGAGCGATCGCAAAGGTGTCTCTGGACACGTACCGGTATGCAGAAACGTGCCCAGGCCACCGCGCGACTACTCAAGGTCGCATCCGTATTGACATCATCGCGAGCGTACAGCGGTGCTTTCGTTTGTTTTACGCCGGCCGCTTCTTTACCTTGTTTGGGACACGTTAATGCGCTCGAAGATAAAGTGCACGTGCGCGCGATGCGCGCGTGGCATGCGGAGTATACCGACGCGAGACGCGACAATCGCAAGATGACTTTTCCTGCATAATTATATATGTATAATAAAAAATAAAAGACTATCATACATAAGAATCTGCTAAGATTTATCATACAGTCCAAGTGGATTAATCTAAATTAGAATGAATAACGATCATTTAAATATGTAATTGCTATATAATTAAAAACTAAAATAAATAAAATTAAGTTCTCTGAATACATAAATGAAAAAATGTATCAATATTTAAATGTAATTGCTACAGTCTTCGCTAATATATTAAGAAGACATTACTGACATTTCATTCGTACACGTCATCACTTTGACTTGACTTTGACCGTGTAACTGGAATTTCCAAAACTTCTCGGAAAATTTCATCCAGGGAATTTATCGGCATTCCCCGCCGAAGATAAGGTGTCGCTTTGAAAAATGCGTTTAAGTGGAGACACATAATTCGCTCGTGCCATGCGTCTGAAAGCTCGTTATGTTATTCCGTTCAGGTTCAGGTAGAATCCTGCTGCGTTTTCAAGTGGCCGCTGAGCCGAAACCAGGTATAAACAACTCGTAATGGTAATGGCGATGGTAATGGAGTAGCCATGTCGTTCCCCGGACTTTCGTATGATGAGGGTCATCCGTAGCAGGAGACGCAAAGGGAGACACCGAAAGGGTGCCCTTCCGTTCCTCGGGTACGGGCACGCGCCCGCGCCCGCGCCCGCATTATGAGTCAAACCACGGTTTCCGCTCTCCCGCGACGGTTACTTTCCGGTGTTTCCGACACGGAACAACGATTTTTTTCAATGATAATAATACAGTGATACTGTTATCTAGTTACAGACATATGTTTGGAAATCAGTTGCAGAAGTAAGAAAATCTTACATTTATATACAATGTTTCTCATTATTGGATAGTAATTGAATATTTTTCGTGTAAGTTACTTATTTTTCACCCTTTTTTATTTAGCATTTCTCTCTCTTTTTTCATATTAAATCAAAGTTAAGTAAAAAAAATTTCGACAGAGGTTTTAGGTTTATAAGCTTGTGACTGACGTAGGTGTATGCAATCTAGCGCCACGCTATGTACATAGTGATATGTACAAGTGACCTGCAATAAAAATAAGAGTAATTCTCTAGGGCATTCGGATCGAACGATCAATTCGAACGATCGATTCGCGAGGTACACGCTGCGCCGCCTCGCGATCTACAAATCCCATGGGTAGGGGCGTATTTATTCGCGAAACGTAATCTGCGCGCACGAAATATGAGGCACACGAGCCACAATTGACACTGTCTATTTAATTTTTTCATTGCTGTTGACGCCTAATTAAGTTTGGTCATCCTACGCTATTAGCGCTTAATATTATAAATTATAAGCTTAATTTTGATATTAAGCGTTCAATTAACGTCGCTTACTATGGGCTGTTGTAGCTGTAGATAGTGTAGACGCATACAGGTGTTCGGCACTTACTTTCGAATAAAATATTTTCTTTATTAAAATAGTAAAGTAAAATAATTCAGTGTTTCACTTCTATGCATTCTCTATAAAATATACGCTGGCAAGAAGTCGTTATGACCCATTAATAGCGTCGGTCGTCGCTGAGCGTCTACCGCCTGCAGTGCGCGTTTTACGCTGAAATTTCGCCTGCAGCGAAAGGGTTAATAATTAAATGTATATTCAATTTCTCTCTTAAATTTTGAAAACAACTCGATTATCTTTAAATATAATTACCAGAACTTAACATAAACGTCGTAGTGCAAGGAAACAGCGATGCCGAAAAGAAAGACGCAGCACGTTGTCACACAATCCCAACTATCACTAATTAATATTTCGCTATTAATACCGTATTAATATCATATATAGAATATATGGGACATGAAAATTTACAAGATATTATAATCAGCCTTTTCAGGTAAAAAGACGGTGCTGCAGATGCGCCAAATGAGTGCATATGCATTTTGTTTTTGCGTGCGATGCTTCTAAACGAACCTTTTTTTTTACTCTATTGATATTGCCACAGAAACGACGCATTGCGGACTAATCGAATAATATGGAGCATCATCTGCGTTCTACATGTAAGCTTTGCTATTACAGTTCATCAATGTATCGACCGATGAGTGGCGTAAGCGCGATGGGTACCGCGGCTGGAACCGGAGGAACCTATAGCCTCCCTTACATGACGAGCAGTCCTACGGAACTGGCATCGTCACCTCAACTTTGGAACGCTCAGGGTAGGTATCAGCTATCAGCCGTGTCAAGATAATTGACCCGATAATGCTTAACAATGCTTAAGGCTCATGTCGGCTCATCTGGGTCTCAAGTCTCTGACGTATTAGATGGATGGAAGAAATTCCAATTTCAGAGATTCATTAAATGTAACAAAATTTTTATTCTATACCCGCGTTACAACTCTGTTAATTTAATATCTTTCTCTCTACGTATACAGTCAATATTTAATAATATTTTATTTGAAATTATTTACACAATAGAATAGTTACATATAAAATATTATCAATGATTAGTTATCACTAATAAGGAAAGCCTCCCAGGTTCCACTCCGATTTTAATGAAACTTGGTCGATTTGTAGAAAGGGAAATCAGCCCTCGAAATTTGGCCAAATTTTCATTTTTGAACTATGTCTTCTAAACTAAGCATAATAGCGCAATTTCGTAAATATACATAATTTCAAAAGCTATTCACTGGTATAAACATTAATTTTCAAAAAGACAAAAAACCTATCTAATATTAACAAATTAATAAACAGCTATACGAGTCAGGCGCGGTACATGGTGCGCAAGTAAAGAAATTAATAGTTACAGAAGTAACGAATTACAATGTATATAATATACATATACATATATTCCATGTAACATAAATTCTATCTAATATTTTGACCCCTTCTACAAATCCACCAAGTTTCATTAAAATCGGAGAGGGACATCTGGGAAGCTTCCCTTGTAAGTTATTAAAATTTTATTTAGCCATAAATATTAATTATAATTAATCATATTTTTTAATTAGTTTTAAATCGATTTTAATAAAATTATGATTTAAAGCTTAAAGAGAGACATATATAAGTATAGACTGCCAAAATTTGAAAAATACAATAAATGAGCCATTTTATGAAGCTCATTATTTTCGATAAGAAAAACAAATGGTCTTTAAATTAGTGAAAGAAACCATGATGGTTATGAGAACAGTTCATAAATTTTGGAATTTCTTTGTTCATAATACATTTTCGTTGTGTGTTCGTTGACAGTTACAGGCCTGAGCACCGGACTTTCCATTTCTGAAGATTATGGCAACAAATCTTCGGGCACGGTGTCTCATCAATCTTTACCAGCGTTTTCGCAACCTTTCGGCGCTCGGTCGAGTTTCCGCGGTTACAGTCCGCCATATTCGTCCTCTCAGCAGAATACCACGGGCACTGTCGCTGTCTCCGCCGTAGAAGCTACTTGGACGTATGCATCGCCAACCGATGCATTAACGACACAATATGGCACACCATCTAGACGGCAAACTGTTAATCCGGCCACAGCACCGACGCAAATTAGCGCTGCGGCGAGTTTAACTGCAAGTAAGTAAAATATTTTTCTATAATTAACCAAATGGCACTTAATAATAATAGTGTTAGTTTTATTGTTGAACTGAATTAAGTATAATTAGAAATTAAAATTAAATTACAAGAACTTTTTTAATGCTATCCTTGTGAACAAAAATAATACAAAAAAATAAATACGTCAAAATTGTTAAGGCATCTTTATTCTTCTCTAATAAAAATGCATGTTTATGAAAAAATAATCCAATTTATCATAATCTTAAAAGTTAAGTCTAAAAAGTTGATTTTTTGCAAATAAAATTTAAAAAATATGATTATGGTCGATCAAGATTCAGCATTAAAAGAGTTAATAAGAATTGATCAACAGCAGGCGAATCACATAATTTTATCGTATAAATATATGTATAAGTTGATAATTTTATTCTTTTCTTTTTAATGCTATAACTGAAAGAAATCATGAGAGATCCTTATTAAATCCGTCTGGACGATAATAAATTTGCTTGTACTCGTGAAATTTGTCATAGATCGATATTTGCAGTGATCGCCGTGTATTCTCACGATTTAGATTATCAAATCGCAGGGTTCGTGTCTCCGGTAATAAAGTTGCAAGAATTGGCCAGGCATCGTTGAGATAACGTGAACGTGCGTTGGCCATTTTATTTGATCCGTGGAATTCGACGAGAAACATTCTTCGTAACTTATTAATTATCACGATTTCTGTTGAACGTATTTTGTAATTTTTTCACGTGCAGTTTCAGTGCTTTGTAAGAATATATATTTCAACATATATTTTTATCTTCTCTATTTTATAGCATATTACATAGTTTGAATGTTCCATAAAGCCATTCTCAGAAAAAATTTTAATTTCTTTAATTTCTTTCATATTTTGTTGGCAGTTTTTTAAATTTGTTTATAAAGTAAATATTATTGAAAATGTTTGCTAATATTTATTATCGATTATTGTATTTGCAAAATTTATTTATTTCTATTTCTGTTTCTGGGCATAAATAGATAAATTTTGATTATGGATATAATGTGATAGATACTGTAGGGGCTGGAGTTTCATTAATGCTAAACTACACAGTTTTTCTTCTTTGTTTTTCCAACTTCTCGACATATTCTTCAACTAATTCCTAAACTCACGCAGCAGTTCGAAATACGAAACCGCAAAGTGCAGGGTAACATGGGGCATGGGGAGTTGGAAGTAACCGATCTGTAAGCAACCCTCATTCGAGGAGGTCCTCGAGGAGCCAGAGACTCCTCTGGTCGTATGCGACGGCGCGTCTATCGTGCGTTCCTGAAGTGGGCGGTGTCCTTTGATGTGACGATTCTTCGTCACGCGCATCTGCGATTCCGTACAGGAATAAATGAGCGCCGGCGCTAAACGACACGAGGTGGTATCCCGCATTACATCGACGTGCATCGAACGTGCAGCGATATGGATATCGTCAAGCGTGATCGGTGGGCGTGTTGCATACATGCTCCTTCGAACTCATCTCGAATTCCGCGCTTGACGCACATGCGTCATTCAAATCCGCTCTTTCTGAGAGTTATGCGAGCAACTAAAAAAGAGGTATTTAATTTTTATATTATTATTAGATTCTCATCCGTGGATATATGTGTGAGGAATTATCTTCCCGTGGTTATATCACGATTTATTCGATATTATATCGAGAGAGAAAGACATTCTGCTTTTGTCGAATTCCACTTTGTTGGATTTTTTAACAATATGTACGATTCCGGGCGGCGAGGTATTGCTTTTCCGCAAATGATGAATTGGCTGTAATTTAAGCTCTCGCGATGATCATGTTACAATTGTCATAAATAACGAAGAAAAGGATTCGATGTTCCGTTAGTCGTGGAAAATTCGGCACGGAGCCGGAGGCGAGACTTAGCGACGGGTGGCACGAATAATAACATAGTTGTGACTAATACGTTCACGGTACTAAATTAGGGTTGTTCCAGCAGACCACTCGAATATCGTGTTTCAGTATCCTCTTACTTGACACAGCATCCCTGGGGGCAATATTTCTCGTGCGACTTTTTTAGCCTGCACACCGCACATAGCTATAATGTACGAGTGAATATTGGATGATCGATAGGATGTGATAGGTAGCGTATCTTACGAATTTCCATCGTTATCGGAGAGACTAAAAATTTATCATTTGTATGGGTCACTGGCTGCTGACCACTGACATGTCGACTTTGTAAACGAGAATCCGCGATATGAATTCGCGGTTTTGTTGTGCTTTGTTGGCCTGTCGGGAGTAGATTAACTAATAAATATCAATGAACTCTTTTCCAACCCGCAATCGGTCATACACATTTTACAATACCTTTTACGATCTCGTTAATTTAAGTTATATATTGCATAAAATCTAATGTATGTATCTCCACTAGAGAGAGAGAGAGAGAGAGAGAGAGAGAGAGAGAGAGAGAGAGAGAGGAGAAATAATTATAATATAATAATAATTATTATATTATTATTTCTTTATAATTAGTATATTTTCTTTGCTTCGCAATAATTTTGCAATTTGTGTATATTAATTCGTCGTTTTAATTTCATAAAAATACGAAATGTTTTATTTCGATTTTTTATTCCAAAAATTTAGTTATTATTTTATGGAAGTTTTTTCGGGAGAATGTTATTAAGTATATTTTTTTCGAAATTGATGATTTAGTTATGATCATTCTCGTGATGTATTCTGTCGCTTCGTGGAAGCATTCCCGTCGCAATTCCGAGTTCTTTATTATCTGTGATTTCGGGCTTTGCGGTAGCCGTGAAAGAGCCGTTCTTAATATATCTCTATGTCGTCGTTTGCGGTCGGTCCGCGACACCTGTTTCCGCGACGTCACGCGCCCGAGCCGGCGCGGGCGGCTATCGAAGGAGGCATTGATATGACCATGACCTAGGTCGCACGAACGCGTAGGCCTAATCTAGTGTCTACGTGCGATACAGAGGTATATTATGATAGGGCTGTATCTAGCAGACGCGCGGCGGCTTACGATAATTCCGTCGTGTTTTCAGGTGTTTAACGCATCCAGGTATATCTAATCGAATACCAGTCAGTAATGTCAGTGACGCGCAGTCATATCGTCCGACTTGGGAATAGAAGTGACATATTCCCAAGACGTACAAATTCTTCAGAATTTCAGAATAATTAAATCGTGTTGCAATTGTTCAGTGAGGGTTGTATAGTTTTTCATTCAACCGATGTATTGTAAAATTACCCAAACTCACAAGTGTAAGTTGAACTGTAATGGAAGCGAATTCGAGAAGTGTATTGGATACACAGCTGATTTTGAGAATACGATTACACAAAATATCTAGTAAATCATAGTAAAAGTTATTCTTGTAATCTGATGTTATAAGATCACAATGTTTTTAAGTCGATTGGAAATTTATGGCAGTGCAATATCACGTTCGCGAGGCATGTCATGTAGAAGATAAGCTCGATAAGTTCGATTAAGACATAAAGCTTCTTTTTTTAAATATACCTTCTCGGTGTCGTCTGCAATTAATTTTGGTTCTTATGCAAGTTCAAGTTCACGATATCGCACGCAACTTGTTACTTGCAATGCGCTTCACCTTCTGCGCCCTCAACTTGCTCTTTTTCTCCATTTTCGGCAATAATTAAGACTCGTTCGACTGATATAACGCTCGACGAGACGACGAGTACATTGAACGTTAAACCGATCATTTATTTTAGATACTAATAATGACGCCAAGATAAATGTGCCTCCTCAAGGTTCACGGAGGTCGACCCGGACTTCTTTATCCGCCTGACATAAAAGTTCGTCATGCTGAGAAAAGCAATGAGTCAAAGTTGAAAATACCTTGTCGAATCTTAAATCATCTCCGTTAAATTATTTTTTTACCGCATGTGTCTTTGTTAATTCTTTACGGATTTTTTCTTTTATTGAAGATTTCAAGGAAACACTTTGGGAATTTTGAAAAGTTCTTATACCTCTGTCGTGAAAAATGATTTTACTTTTAATGCATCATATGAATTAATCGATTTTCCGATCTTTTTCTCTGCTTCTATTTTTTCCTCGGGCTCCAGTCAAATGCTTTGGTTTTGACTTTTAGATCGCCCTACTAGTTTTTAATTATGTTATGTTATAACACAATTATCAGATACTGATACGTGTAACAAAAATTAAAATAATTATTATGTTTACCGAGAGAAAGAAATAGAAAGGAAAAAAACGCATCTCTCTGAGGGGGATGTATCGACCGGAGAGGGAAAGTTTAAGAGAGTTTAAGTGGTTCTTCAGGGACTAAAGTCTGTGGTTACACATGCCGCACCATCCGGATTTCGTTCTAGTAGACCGGCAATGAGAGAGAGACGCTCCTTTTAACATACCGCGACCTCGAGTGTTTCATCCGCGAGTCCATGCTGGCTGTGATTTAAGTTTAACCGTGCCAGACATCTCTCCCCTCCTACCTACGGGAGAACTATTTCTCTCTCGGTGTACTTTCGTATATCGTTGTATACGTCTACATATAGTGTCTATACGTCGATGCAAGAGTACCGCAAGAGCCGTGCATCATCCTGAAAGATTGTGCACGTGGCCGTCCCTAAATTAATCCAGTTGATCCGAAAACTTGACTTTTAGACCAGTATACGCGCACAACTCGTGTTTTTTTATTTATATTTATATTTGTGGCCGTTTTAGCCCATCTAAAATTGATGTAACGATGTTTCGCACTACTTTCCGCTAGAGTTTCTACTTAAACGAAATTATATGAATAATCAGAATAATATTGATCATTAAACATTAAAACAGAATAAGTAATTTTTACTTCGCCAGAGAATAATTAACCCAATTAAGAATTTCAATTGACTATATACTGGCAATGATTATAATCGTGGCAACGATTAAACATGAAACTTTGAAGAAATGAAAATTGGCGACAGAAAAAATTTTAAATTTTTTAATTTTTAGTTTTTAAATGTATTTTTTAAATGCTTAATAATGATTGAGAATGAGAAGGATAGAAAGGTCGAAGCCATAAATGGCAATTGCAATGTGCGTAATGTCTGCACATCAAGCGCGAACGGATCATGCAAGTACATATACGTTGCTGGTAATTGATTGAGCTTTCTGTATGAAATAATAAGTATCGCAAAGCCGAGGGCAGATTAGAGCGGTCAAAGGAAACAAAAGCACAGGTGAACAAGAATGTTAATGCGACGATAACATAGTTATTATCGCGCCGAAGTATAATCGTCTAACTGTGAAATTAAGTTCGCTGGAATACTACAAGAAATAATGTGCCATAATCTGATTTATTATTTAATCTGCGATATAAAAATATGCGTTATGTGCTACTTTTATTACTTTTTCCTATAGCATTTAATACTTCCGTTATTTCTTTATTCTGTTTTTTTTTTCTTACCATCGCGAGTTTTCTTTCTCGCGATGCATACTCGAGGATAGAATGTCACGAAGGTCGGAATGCAACGGCGTCGTTCGGGTGCGAAAGTGCAACATGAAGCCTTGTACGTACTTCTAACGTAGTGAGGACTCCGTACAGGATATCTAGCTACGTCAGCTACTTCTTGCTTACATAATATCCGATTGCTTCCCAGTCTGATTCCGTCCGTATCTCAAGAAGATTCTCGTGTCCTCTGACCTCTTCGTCCTCGTTCGGTAACTTAATGCCTGCATTTTAATTCGCTGGCTCTTTCCCCTTCGTCCTTTCATATCTAATTACGGACGCTTCTCTACTTCGAAAATTGCGTGCCGCGTTATGGATACTATAAAACGATTCAAGCAATAGAATATCTCGATCTTAATTTTGATTTAATCCAGAAGACACGCGATACTACGAAGGAAAACAGGGTGATTGAATTTTCTACTTATATATTTTTACAGCATTTTAAATGATGTTTATATATAATGCAGTTATAATATACATATGCATGTACAACATTATATTTCGAATGCTGTTGCATAAAAAAAAATAGCATCATCATTGAACTGTTTCATCCTTTTGGTACTCGCACGTTCTCGCAAATGATGATAATTCGACAATTAATAGTCCACTATTTGTGGGTCAAGGTGGCGTCATAAAGGCGCGAGAACGCAACTCGCCCGGCGCATATATATACTTACGTATATATATATGTATGTACATATGTGATGTGCTCTAAGAGAGTTCGTAGGACTCGGACGGCATCAGCAGCTTCTTGCTTACCTACATACAATATCCGATTGCTTCCCAGTCGCATTTCTGCCGGATGTGCTGCTCGCGTACACCGACCTCTCTTCGTTCTCTCCTTCTCCGCTTTGCTTTTCTTCTTTTTTTTTTACCGAGTAACTCGAGATGAATTCTCTTATTTTTCTCCGTCGTCAAGTGACGCGTTCAGCCCTTATTAGGAAGAATAAGCGCGACTTTACGTGGATTCGCATTTTAATGAGTACCTACTATTTAGTAATGATCTAAATAAATTTCTGACATCTATATTCAAGAAAATTGTATCTCTCAATCTTTAATTGCATATCAATAATTCCAATTAATAATTTGGCTATATAGATACAATTCTCGTATAAGCAACGTATAAGCAACGCGGTTTTTAACGTAGCACATGCGCACGTGGCTACTGGGTTGGCTGGCGTTATTATCAGCAAACGCCGGAACTCTGATAATACCATGTCCGTTTCGATCCTTCCCTCGTCGCTTTTACACTTCCTGCATCCTTCCTTTTCTTTCTCGTCAGTGCTCTTCGTTCCATTGTATTTCCCGTGATTTTCATATTCACTCTTAATATAATGCAACAGGTTCCGATACAACCGATGAAATTATGAATAGTTATTAATACATCTTGTGAAATTTATGATGTTATCACTGCACACATTAGGGCTTACAATAAAAATATTATTTATTTTCGAGTATAAATGCCATGTACAAGAAATTGATTTTCTTTCGCAGTATTTCATCGCAACAGTTGACTCTAAGAGGTCTGATCATTAAGATCTTAATGGCTCAGTTTTAAATGCAAACTATCATTAAAAATAGTCATTTATTCATTAAACAATCAAATTTGTTCATTAAAAATTTTTTATGGATCTGTTGGAAAATTACAGAAATTAATTTAGAGATTCTTATTTTACTATTTTTTCATACTTTATTAATAATTTCTGGAATGGTGTTCTGGAATAGTTTACGTTCTACGATACGCTTTGTCGGAGAAACTATGCATATTCATAGTCACGTAATGGAAGTGGGGGAATGCTGCGAACTAACGAAACAATGTTTCCGTGTGGTCACGTAAAAAGAGGCCACTGCAGATATGGTTACTCCTTACTCCCGGCAGAGACACGTGTGTAGTTCTGTGCTTTTTACTTAGTCGCGCAAAATGCATCGTTTCGTGCATCATTTTATACCGAAAGCACGCATGGATATTATGCACTTTTATGTTTTTGATAGGAAGAAAGAGATTCGTAGCGAGAAGCAAAAAAGAAAAAAAAACAAACAGTCATTGTATTTTGCAAATTTAGTCTATATCGCGTTTGTGTGCCTGCTTTTTCGAAGAAAAAATACTTGGTTTACAAAAAAAAAGTAGTAAATGCCTGGAAAGTAAATTAATATGATATTTTTCAGGAAAGAAAGATGTAATTAAAAGAGAATTATAACAAATATTTTCGCACAGTTCTTATTTTTGTTTGTAAAGACAAGTATTTTTTTTTTATTTAGTTGATCACATTCAGTTATAATCAGATTAATGCTATGTCTAATTGACTAACTCTTCTCATTATTAATATTATTTATACATATATAAGTTTAGTAATTATGTAGTTATGATACATAAGATGCAAGGCATGGAGTAACATCTGTAAATGCATAATTATATTTTAGCTACTTGGTGACGCGATAGCATATAATTATTATCAATATTATATAACTATAAAAATAAAAACGTTACAGAGATATTGCATTATACATTTCATTGATTATCTTATCTCCTCGAATGAATTGATATTATTAACAATCGACGATACACCATGCCTTTAAAATCACAAAACAACAGCACATTGACAGTCAACTATCTTTCAATCCAAATAGTTAAGTTATAAGTAATAATAGCTTAATTTAATAATAATCTAATTTAACAATAATAACTTAATAACTTAATTTTGCATTCAATTAAAAGAAAAAGGAAACAACGACATAAACGTTGTCACACATGTGTGCATATTTGTTGCGTGCGATGCATCTGTCTGATCTTTCTGAGAAATCCAATATGAATGAAACACAGTGCACAACATCGAAGCGGAGTACTTTACGGAGGGTCGCGAGTGCGTGAACTGCGGCGCGATTTCCACACCTTTATGGCGTAGAGATGGTACCGGGCATTACCTCTGCAACGCATGCGGTCTCTACCATAAGATGAACGGAATGAATCGTCCATTAGTTAAACAACCACGTCGCCTGGTAAGGAAGGCTTCACCGACGACTCCATCGCGACGCTAGTCGCGATCCGGGAACGGAACGGTTTGGCAAAGTCGTTTGCAATATTCGAAGACTCTGTGTAGACCTGTCATACTTTTTGTTGTTAACTTTCGTTGCTATTATCTGAAAAATTTTTGGAAAAAAAATTAGAGCGATTAAAAAAAGATATGGCTTTAGACATAAACCATAGACGAGTCTGATGCAAACAGTATTTTGCAAACGACGAATGAGTTCAATCGAATTAGCCGCAACCATACATTCGAAAGGAATAAGAGAGAAAGAGACAGAGACAGAGACAGATATACAGAGACAGAGAGAGAAACGCGCACAGTAAGAAATCTTTTCTCGCTCGGTCTCGTTACTGTCCAGGAGCCTATGTGGAAATTCGCCCGTGATGTTCTGCCCTTTAGTAAGTCCAAGGGACGCTCAGCAATCGCGTCCCTGTCTCCGACCGTAACAAAATGAATTCTCCTCGCACCTCGCGATGTCAAACTCGCCTTTTACTCGAGGTTCGATGCACTGTCGTGTATGTCTAGTACACGCAGAAAGAAAAAAACACCCTTAACGTATGGCCTCATGTCTGTTTCAGTGGCGGACCAGGGCAATTTCTACAAAGACTTCTGTGGGTATAGTGGCGCCCGTCGCGCCCTCGGGGAGGAGAAAACGAGCCGTCGTTTGGTAGGTGTCATCCTCCCAAATTAGCATTCTCTCTCTTTCTCTCTCTTTTTCTTTTTGTCTGTTTTTCCCATTCTTTCTAATGATATTGTAATAATAATTTTCATCTGATGTCTCTTTTTCTCTCCATCCTTTTATCATCACAGCTCCCTGTCTCACAGTTCATCACTCTTACCGTGTATTTCTTCAGCTCGTCATCATCATCATCGTTGATCCGTTACTGCGGCCGAATAACAATAAAGTTTGTAATACACTGTTAAATATTAAAGGATGAAATTTAAATCAATACCTTGAGTAAATAACATTTTGTTATTTTTAACTACCATGTGTGTCGAATTTATTATTTTAACACAAAACAGTATTGCTTTAACTTCATTGGTTCAATGTCAGTTAAATTAAATAACATATATTAAATAGGAGCAGTGGCGAGCTATAAGAATAGTTGAAAAGTAAGAGTATAATTTGACGCTACGAATGTAACAGTGTATTGATACTTTTAAAAATCATGTTATTTTAATCATAATTCAAACATTGTGTAAATATAAATGTTATAGACAAATAAATGAATATATTTGACCAAAAATCATAGGTATGTTATCATAAATTAATATAATTATGTAATTAAATTAAATATATTGAAATATTAAAGTCTGTATAGTGCTAGAAAATTGCTTGCGGTCAAGGATCGACACGTTCCTTTTTGTCCCAACTCTCCCGTAATTTTTCTATCGCGTTAACATCACGCTTTCTTCGATCACTCATCATTATACTAAATTCTGTTAATTATCGAGACGAAGACAGTCGTCCTTGACCGTTTTCGTCTTCGGTGGCGCATTTCTAGTAGAAAATTCGAGTCGTAGCCCCGAGGTGCCACTATACCCATGGTACGAGCACTTTCCTTCCCGAAATCACGTGCAGCCTGTTGTAAAGTACGTCTTGTCTTGCAATCACGTGTCGCTTGCAATTTCCGATTACACGGAATGATTCTTTGTGTCTGTTGAGTTTTTCCAGGCTCGCGTGATCTTCGTGACCGAGGGTGGCTCGCTTTTCTGCTCCGCGGTCTCTGCGGTACCTTGCACAGAAAACTTTCTAATTATGGTAATTTGACCTAATCCTTTCCCGAGTTTGCATCGGAGCTCTTTAACGATCCTATAGGGAAAGCGATTGACCGTTCGATATCACGAGTTTTCTTTTAAATACTCAAATATACAAAATTACTTTCCAACAATACTCTCGTATTGTATATTAACTTCTTCCGAAATTTAGCACAAGTTTCTCTCGTATTTTGTACATATTTTCGATATCATTCATAATGCTAAATTGATTCTTATGTTTCGTATTTATATAATCCTGTAATATAATCATATATACCTTTTAAGAGCAATGCAATCCATCATTTAATGCCTTCATCAGACTCTCGGCTACGAAATCATTTTCAGATCTTTTTCGCCGAAGGCAGTAGCGTGTAATAACGATTTTATATCTCTTTAGTCTGCCACGAGACGCGTCGGTCTCTCTTGCAGCAACTGCGAAACCACGATGACGTCCCTATGGCGTCGTAACGCACACGGCGAACCAGTGTGCAATGCTTGCGGTCTTTATTTCAAGCTGCATGGCGTCAACAGGCCATCGACTATGAAGAAAGATAGTATTCAAACGCGCAAGCGGAAGCCTAAGGGTGGAATGAAAAGCAGCGATACGCCTCTTTCGAGCAATGTCGCGCAATGCACGAACAATAATAACAACAATAACAATAACGTTAAACTTGAACCAGGTACATATACATCTCTATTAATTAAGTCTCCTATATCATTAAAAAACTCGAATGTTAAACTCTCCTTTGCAACGTTTTTGCGAAACACTTGTCCAGATAAAATACGCCCGCCCACTTTACCATATCGATTTTATGCATCAAATTTATTTTGTACAAAAATTATTTTGCTGTTAACGTCATAGATACTTACGGCGATCTGAGGATGGCTCACACTGGCGTGTCGCAAGTAACATATCCGACCAGTCTCTATGGTAGTCCCCAATCATCGAGCAGACTAATGCCTTATCAGCCCGTGTATTACGATCTGATCGCTTCGCAGCAGCAGCAGCAGCAGCAGCAGCAGCAACAACAACACCAACTGCTGGAGACTCATTCGCCGAAGATCGAATGCCCGTCTCCACCTTGTACCACGCGCTCACCTGGAATGGTCTCGGCTGGTCAATCACCTGATCATCATCAATTAACTTCGCCACATATTGTCACTCTAGGTAGTCCGTCGACCAGTCCAGCCGGATCTAAAATTATGCTGGACAATGGTCACCTCGAGAGATCTACGGTTGTGTCGATATCATCCTAAACGCATCCTAAACGCATCCTAAACGCAGTCCAGAAAGATGCCGGATGTTAAGACAGGCAACAAATAAAAAAAATAACTTAGTAGCAAAGTAAATGCCTGTCAAGCAAAAAACCTGGGTTCGATTCCCACTTTTTACCTTCTAACCAGCGAGACAAACAATCTCGCTGATTTCTTACTTTCCTGCGCGCATTGTGATATGCAAAACTGAAAGTTATATATCTTTGGCAAATATTTTTGAAAATGTGTGAAAGCAGCGCTGTTATTGTAAATAAGAGTTTTAGGATATTTTAGAACTTTAGAATTTTTCAGAAAGTCGTATAAGCTTTTTCTTTAGAAAGGAAAATTTCTAAAGAAAAAATAGATTTTCTGCTTAAAAAGAAAATGAATTTTTTTATTTTACGCTATTTTTATTCGATTGTTTTTCTTTTTTTTTTTTACCAAAGAACCCTTTATTAACGAATCTTGCGTCAACATTCAAGATAATACCAAATTACGAATGATATTGTTATTTGTATATATATGTATGATGTATGTATAAGGGAATCTTCTTATGTAAGATTACATATAAAAGTGTCCTTATATTCCAGCATAAAACTACATAAAAGCATAAGGATATTCTAATCGAGCGGATATGTAATGTCTTCGATATAGTATAAAATATATCGCGCGAGAGTGGTAAAAATGATAGGAATAATGTAACATAATACAATTAAATAGTAAACATATAGCAACAACGGTGTATATTACGAGTAAACATATTTGACGGTTCTGCGAATAAATATATGCAACAATTATGACACATTTTCTTTTCTTTCATAATAAGTCAAGTCGAGTTTTGTTAGCAAGTTGCGTCAATATGTTTCGCATAATATATTTTTAAAATATTGTATATTTCTAAATAAAAATGGGATATTCTAAATGAAGTCAGGAAGCTTCGCGCGTTTTGATGATTTATCTAACTTAAATCTGAAGGTAAGTTTATTTAAAAAAAAACAAGACATTTTTTCCAAATTTATTGTTAGATTATTAGTAAAGTTACACAATTACAAATTTATAATGTAGTTTTTATTACTAGCAAGAAAGAGTACGATATTTTACGTAGGTATGTATTCTATAATAAATTGCAAAAGATAGATCCAATGTGCATTATTATTGCCTATATGCAATGGCATAATATAAAGCATGTGAGCTATGTTTTTTCTACAGAAATGTATTTCTTGTGTTATTTAAAAGTTAACGGACTTTTAGAATTATCGAAGTGGATTACTTAAATTACACATACCAGTGCACGTTTAACATGGGCCCTCTGTAACGTTCACAAAAACAACCAGTTGATGAGAGGCGAAGAGTCAGTGAACGACCGAAAGAATCATCCTTGTGTATTTTCGGTGATAATGCAATGTCTGCGTTAATCTTTGTAGCCACATATATCCACTTTTGCTTGCAATGGCGTAGATATCATGAGATCCACAAAAGCTTTAGAATAATCAGTTATTACTTAAATTATAAAATCGATGATTTATTTATTCTATAATTTTTTAAAATAAAATTTATACTAATAAAATCTTGACTAATATTTATTTTGATCTCTAAGTTTTGAAAATGTTTTTAAATTTGCAAGATTATTAAATAAAAACGGAATAAATTTTACATTATATTACATTAAAATTTATGTTTAATGAAACTCTAAATAAATATACATATAAATTATATTATTTTTTTATAAATCCACTGAATTTTATTAATTAAATCACTTTAAAATGTAACTGTTAACTTAAAACCATCTTTACGCATCATGAATCTCGATTACGCTATTGCATCTGGGACAATAATGCTTGTTGGATCGTTGTCTTATTAGAACGATGTCTCACCTGATCCTCTTATCAGCGGTACCCTAGTGTGTGCTCTGTAACCATGACTGCAACCCTCCGTCTTCAAGCTTCGTTCCCCTTCCTCCGACAAAATGATAAAGAATGATAGGTATGCGCCTGTACACGGTAAAGTACCGATCCCTTCGTCAAGGAGCTCCACGAAAATAACTTGGGATAAAAGTAATAAATTGTGAAAAAACCAAACATACATCGAAGATAAAATTTTTTTCATAACATCTCAAATATTTAAACTTTTTGTCCCAGGAATTTTTTCTGTAATATTTTTGTTCAAATATTAGCATTTTTCTCGTTCTTTTTCTTTTTTTATTGTTTCATAAAAAAATTCATAAGATTTCACCGTGATTTCATATTTTTAGGTGGTCGTTACTTACATATATGTTGAGGCAATCCACGTGAGATTTTATGAATCATCATAAATATGAGGTCCTAAAAAGAAAGATTTTTACTTAATTATATATATTTTTTACTTAAATAAAAAGATATTTGTAACTGATCTAGTAATCAAGAGACAGTAGTGATAAAAAGAATGATATGATTAAAAAATTACCTGTTTAAAAAAAATATAAAAGAGTCATCAAGTGCACGTGCCAGTATGAAAAACCGATATATTGAACGTATAAAAAATAAAACATTTATAAACAGTTTAAAAAATGAAACATTTCTAAACCTACCATAATAGAAGACATTTAAATATATATAACATTTAATTAAAATGAAAAAATATTTAATCCAAAAAACTTGGCGGTGCTAGATCTCGGAACATAATAAGACAATGAAAACAAATAATTTAGACCTGAATTACAGTTTTTCATACTGGCGCGTGCACTTGGCTTTATAATTTTTTTTAAGAGGTAATTTTTTAATGATCTTTTTTACATCCGTATTTATATCTATTGGAAAGTTTCGAAAATTATCAGATCTTCACACCAATTATCATTTCTACGAATAACTATTATTATAGGAATTACTATATATTTTATTAATGTTTTTTAATATTAAACGCTTTTAATATTGCTTGTAAAAAAGTAAGATTATCATCCCATTGGTAAATTAATTATTAAATTGATTGTATATGTGTGTGCGTGTATTGGGAGGGGGGGTGGTAAATGGATAATTACATAAAATTATCAATTTTTCTAATTTTTGGTATTCAGAGCAATTACTTATTTCGGACGTTTTTAAAAAAGATTTCTATTGTCATCATCGTTTCATTCGCAAGTCACCACCACAGTTTTCTTAAGTTGCGATGCGACTGACGAAGAGCGAAACACCCAGAAGCATCGGTACCAATATGGCGTGCGCAGGCAGAAGAGATCCTGACGCAGTAACAGCACGGCGGCAGTTGGTTTCTAATCGTCGTCAGTTAATATTTGACGGCTCTCGGATAAAATCGAAGCTTCGATTTCACGCTACCAGACGGCAGTTTCAACGACGACCACGACGACGAAGAGTAGCAGCAGGCCTCCTCGCTCTCCTCGTGGAAGCGCACCTGTGTCAAGCGCGCGCCGCGTGTGTGTCTCGCTCACAAACTCACTGGTAGACGCAGTAACGACGAGGAACGAGCTCCAAGAACGTTGGAGCACACCGTGGAGCGTCGCGTGTAGAGTTGCAACAAGTTCCAAGTGGAGTACACCACATAGCCGTTTCTTTCAACGTTTCCTCCTCATCTTTCTCTTTCATTGATTTGTAAGTTGAAATCCTTTATTGTTCTTTTCGCGACTTTTCAGTCGTACAATTTTACGCGTTTCAGAAACCGGCATCGCGACGCCGCGCCGCGCCGCGGCTTGGTCATATAGTGAATCAATGAACAAATCGGGAATTTCAACGACATTAGCGAGCGCAAATTGTCGTCGTTAAATAAATTTGTTTCTGTTTGTATTAGCATAACTAAATAAATGTTTTAAGACTAACAAAAGCCAAGACACGGTGCAGAAAAATTAATAACTGAAATTGATCATTAAATCAATGAAATTGCTAACATTTTGAGTAATAGTCTTCTCTCACGTATTTCTATAATAGATGAAATGGATCGCATCGATTAGTACTTTAAGCGGTTATTAACTTTATGATATTAATATGAGACAATTTCTAATTAACATTAATGTTAATATAAATTTAATACTATGGAGTGTTGTATACATAGCATAATTTAACATAATTTAACAAATAACATTTCACTGCAACAGACATCATTAAAATATAAAAAGGACATTAAAGTATAATAAAGTCCAAAGGCTATATTTTATAATTCTATTTTTAACGGGTATAAGCGAAATATCTACAGAAACACACACATACACACACACTTATGGGATTCATAAGCAGCGGGTCGTCTAGCGCGATTTTACCTGATCGCTGTTGAAAGAGAGAGAAAAAACCGCATGCGAGAAGGAGCCGAACGAAAGCGAACATCCGTGGTAATGCGAGCAACGCTGTATACGAAAGGAACACTTGTGTTTTATGTTCGGCCCGCTCCGACACTTGTGTTTTGTACGCGATCCGCTTCCTCCTCCTCGTCGATGCGATCTCGACGTCAAAATCTAGACACAGGTCTCGCCGATTCGATTAATCCATCTTTCCTTCTCTCTCTCTCTCTCTTTCTTTTATAGATTTTTCCTCTTCTTTTTCTCTTTATTTCTCTTTTTCAAGATCTTGGTTCGTCGTTATGGGAATAATTCTGTTCAAAGACATGTCGCACGTGCATCCTCTCCTCCCAAAACTTGTGCGAACAGTATTACCGTCACGAATCGTTGAAATCATATGAATTCATTAAATTATACGTAACATATCCAACATACGCAATCAAAAATATTTGAGCAGACCTTTGAGCACTCTCACTTAATGGCATATTAATTATTTTAATATTTAATTAATTTACCCGTGTCTGGCTTAAGAGCGAGACACATATTCCAAACAGTGACTAGATTGCTCGATTGCAAGATCGTTGTCGATAATGTAAATATTAAATCGATAATTCAAGTTATTCCGACGGTATGCGACGGAACATGCGACGGGAGATTACGCTCTGTGAACGGACTTTCTTTCTAGATAAGGATGCCCATGTTCATATGATTTTATTTCTTCATCATATTTCTATTTTTCATATTTTATTTCTGACGCACCTATACGTACTGCTTCAAGTATCGTACAAATTTTTTCCAATCCCGATTTTTATAACCATTCGCAATTATCTTATACTCAGAATATATTCATCGTCGGTGCGCATCCATTCTATTTCCGTTAAGTTTTGGATTGCGAATACTTACGACAATTTCATTTCAGTTTTATATCGATCATGACACATATCCATCATGTCTCGAAAGCCACGGTCACTATAAACTGTCTTGACACATCTCCCATAGAAATGGAATGACTTTTTATTTTGAACATGTCTTTTTTTCTCGATCACGTTCACGACGCGCTCTATTTTCGAATACGATTCATCAAGTCTGACTTCGGTCTTATTTTCACCTGATAGATCACAGACCGCGCAACATCGGCATCGGTGCTTCTCGCGGCGTCTGGCACGAAACTATTTGCCGCCAGGAAGAAAGATATCCCCTGAGCGCAGATAATATTTTATTAATCATTAAGCACATAGCCGCCGTACATATAAGATAATGGGAATAATATCAGGCAATGACGATAATACTGTTTGTCGTGTACGTTAATTATTGGTCCTCGCATCGCGACTGACTTTCGCGCTGCGCCGTCGCGCGTCGGCGGCGGCGACATCACCCTTCGATTATCGCGTCGATCTATTCGGAAGTAACAAAGCTTATTTTTCAAAAATATTAAATTAATGTATCACACAGAAATAAGCAGGGAATAGCGGCGATCGGAATTCTTATTTGTTCGTTCAAACAGTTTGAAAATCTTTGATTGATGATTCACAAATAAATGTGGCAACTGAAAAGGGAAATTTTGAAAGTAATCTCTTGTAATTCTTTGATAAATGTGGAGTATTTATGCGTAGAATATACATTTGATAGAATTCTCCCTGTAATTGCATGATTTGTTTAACATTTTCCTAATTTGATCCGAATAAGGAATCAGTATAATAAGTACGAAATTAAAACTCTATCAAAAAATTCACATAAGATTAATTTAAGAAATATCGCACATATTTTCATCTATGAATTTAATATCCCCCTAAAATCTTGTAATTAAATTTGATTTACTTACAATAAGAATGAAGAATGAATACAAAATATACATATAAAGCGTGTATCATATGTCAATAAGATTTTATTAGATGAGAACTCTTGTAAAAATCTCACCGTCAAAGATGGTCTTACTCGGGTAAAAAGAGCAGCACGGGTTTTAGTTCCGAATGCCATCCCGATATAAATCATTTTTTTCAAGGTCTCGTAACGTTCCATTCATGGCCGAACGGCCGCAATGTAAATATTGAAATAAAAAGTTTCGATCCCGTCGTGTTACATTGCAGAAATGCAAACATCACCATAACCGTACCATATGCGTGTCTCGTCTTTTCTTTTCGGAAAACTAGACGATTCGGTAAAATTCCATTGGTTTTAAAACATTTTTTATTGAAAAGTCTGAGTCTAAGTATCTTCGTCATTGTCCTTTAGCTTCGAGTCTATTTTTCGGATATTTTACGACAAACGGGCGTATATTTGCGACGAAAACAATGAGCACGAAACTTGTGTTTGCACAACGCGGTCGTAGCGCGATGTTAATCCCGTCGACGTTAAAATCGAGACAGTTCTGTCTCGTTGTAAATTTCAGTAATTGCGCTGTAAAACCTTCTTCATCTTTGCACGCGTTGCGGACGTGAAGCATCGCCATCGAGTCATTTAAACACACGCCATAAAGGACTTGTACGTTCGCCATTTTAATGCACAAGCACAAACATGCACTATACTCGATTACAAAATGATGACAAATTGCAATAAAGTTTTATTGATTTCTTAGTATCCAATAAGATCCGAGAACTTAGCGCGCGCTATATCGTTTTCTGTTGTGTTGCGTCTTGAGAAATCTTCTTAATCTGTTATCGTCAAACTGCAATACTGAATCGTAATTTCAAGTCTAATCTAATGTCGTGCAATTCTTCAAATATTTAATCGAAAGGAATCTATTTTTAGAAATTTTAATTTATATTTAATTACAGAGATACGCAACAATTAAAGTTTGAAAGTAATAAAAGTAAAAATTTCAATATTTTTATTAATACAAAATCATCTTTATATCGATCGAGGAAAGCTATAGTTAAAAGAACATTCGATAATTTTAGGACACTGCGTATATCAGATATGACTTTGAATTGCATGATGTCAACGGGCGAAAATAAGACATCATTTTCGCGTAGATTCTCAGCGATATGGATTTTCACGCACACACGCGTACGCCAATCACGCATCTACACACACCTGTCTTTTTTTCATGTACGATGATAAGGGATTTCTACGTGGCTGATAAAGAAAATGGCCTCGACGTGTTCGCGCCCCGTTTAATGACGTAAATCCTCTTTGCTCGCTCGATTTTTATTTTCGTCATGTTTGCCTCAGAAAAATACGAAAATTCGCCACGTATATTAATTTTCAACGCGCACACATTTCATTTATGTCACAACTTGCAAGGCTTACAACAGTTACAACTTTCCACACCTTTTTATGAGAATCAACACCCATTCATGTTTGTACGCTTCATGAATTGCTCACTTCGATCGTAAATCTGTAAACTTTACTCTCATACATGAAGCAGATTTCTTACATAGGCATAGATGAAAATCCGTGGAAAATTTAGTCTGGGAATTACTCACACTGTGGCGTTAGATAACACTTGAGAAATTTCCTTTAGGTAGCCATAAGATAAGCGCGAAATCAGACCGACCTTTTCCGCTACATTTTTTTCGAGTTACACTTATTATCAGCGGTAACCGATCTCGCAATGCACCTTGAGTTAAAGTATATTTACTGGCCCGTTCTCGTGAATCCCCGAGGGATTCACGATGGATTCACCTGGGGAAATCCATAGACCGACGTAGCGGAGGAGAGTAGGAGCGGCCCTACGCGCTCCTGGCGAATCCGACGACTGAAATTATCATTTTAGCTGATATACTAGCTAATGTAAGGATGCAGTTTTATCTCTTATTATCATGGGAAACGAGATAAATCGCGATAGTACCGTTTATTTTGACAGCGTGGCGGCACCACGCGCGCCTCCCCATCGACGATGTACAGCATGACGCCACGCTTTGTGTATCGGTCCTGGTATTTTCGTTCAGGTGATTTAGGTGATCTTACCTTCGACCACTCAACTTCTCTTTCCTTTGTCTATATATATATATATCTTGCTCCTGGTCCATTTATACATAACTATATAGTATATATATATATATATATTTTTTTATGCAAGACAGTAAGGTTGCATGCAACAAAAATCAAATACAGACGAATATGCGCGAAACGCGTAAAAAGCGAAACAAATTTTGCATATTAGAGAGATCTTTTCATCCATATTCTGATTATTTTAAATCTATGTTCATTTTAACGCTGCTAAATATTATTAAGTTAATTATTTAATTTTTATTCAATTAATATTATTGATTAATTGAAAACTTTAACTTATTAAGAATTAATTTGAGATATATAGTAAGATGTATAAAATTAAACGTTATATGAAAATTGTGTAAAATACAAGAATCCATAGAACATTGGAAATTATATGTACAAAAATAATGGTTTATGAATCGTTATCTTATATACGAGGAATGTCGGAGTTCTTGGTTATTTGAACTGAACGATTACACACAATATGACTTAAGTTTCGTAATATAACTCTTATGTTTTTGTTAGAGAAACAGGTTCACTTAGTATGAATGTTTGTCAGAATTTGATCGTGCGTCACTCCATCGCTGAAAAATCTTTCGTGCAATTATACATCACACGTCGTAGTTACCTCTTGTTTGCCGAGTACTGTTTGCTTACTCCGCGACATAACACGATTGTAAAATTGAACGATCGCCAAACTTCCCCATTAAAACTCTGTATGCAGGTGGTTTAACGTGACTGCACTGCAAAGCTAATCCGCATCGATGCGTTTCCGAGTTCATATCGAATTGTTTCTTTATCGAAGCTTTAAGTCTTAGGAAAAAGAGGGATCGGTTTTTATGATTCCATCGAAAACGCATTATATTCATTTTTGCAATTGATGCTTTATGGTAGGCGATAACTTTTGCTGGTGATAACTTTGCGAATTAACAAATTTGTCACGCAAATAGAGAAGAGATTGTATAAGAATACGACCCTTTCGAGAAAAAAAAGGAAAATTATCAAGAAAACATTATTAATTTTTTTTTAATATTATAGAAAATAAAAAATGCACAGATTTATATACCTATTCACCATTCATTTATTAGAACCTTTTATTACAAGATTCCTATTAGTCTCTGATTTTTAACGGTCATTTTATTTATGTAATAATTTTAAATAAAGTTATATAATATAAAATCATTTTACTTTTAATTTAAGTTTATATTCAAATGATAATTATAAATGTAGATAAACACATTCGTCGCATTAATATGAAATTCTTTGACTATAGATTTATTTATTAATATATTTTCGCGTTATATAATCATCACACGATGAATAGCATAAGTTTCAAAATCTTTTTCCTGATTCTGTGTCATTAATTTTTTTATTCTATATGAAATATCTCGTGATCTAATCAGTATCAAACAATTTAACGAAAAAATTATTTTAAAGTCAACAAAGCTATGATTCGTCCCATCAAACTTTCGGTGTGTTGCAATTGCGTATAATCTCCTCTTTTTCTTTTGTCGTAGCTCGTAATAGCGCGCTCTTATCAGCAGAATATTGTTTCAAGAGGAAACCTGCGATGTATATGTGCGTGTGAATGTGCTCTTGATTTCTATCGAGCGGGCACGCTTACCGGTATCGTTGCGATCGCAGGTAGAAATATCAAACAGCGTCACGTACGCCATTCCGGACAATTCCATGCGTTCAAAGGTTCGGCCTGAAAATATATTTGTTTCCCTCTTGAGTCGCGATTTCGAGAAATCCTCCCGTAGCTCGTATTGATCGTGCAGATTGATAAATTTATGGCGGCAAACGCGTCCTTTTATCTTAATTGTCTCTCATTGAGATCGCGAATTATTAATTTACTTGATTCTATCGTTTAACTTTGGCAATTAATAGCGGAAATCAGAAATTGGTCGAGAAAATTAAGTATCGCGTGTTTACGAAATCAATTTGAGATTACTTTATTCCTATTCTCTATTCCGATAGTAAAACTTTCTTTTTTTATTTTAAACTTTAATTTAGGTCTAGACATAAGCGGAATAGATTAGTTTGGCTGCAAGAAGTTAAGTATATCAGTTTCGTGTCATACCTTTCCTCAATTATCAAAAATTGTGACGGTTTCGTTGCCAATGACGTTTCGTTTGCTGAAATGAATCAGGTGCACGATGACGCAAGCAATAATCATTATCTTAAGATGACTCTTCCGTATGTACGCTGTACGAACAATATAATTAAAGTTACTATTTTTCTTCTTTCCTGTCCTATTTCGAGATTGGATGATAATTAGTCGCGCGGCATAACACAATGTCAAAAATTATCTATGATTTAATCGTTATCCAGCTCGCTTTCAGATATTCGCACGTTTATCGTGAGAATTATTTCATTATTGTATTATCATTATTGGTATAATGGTTGTATAGTACAATTTTATACCGTGAACAATTAATGTAATTTCGGTCTATTAATTCTTTGTACAGCATTATAAAAACATGACCTAAAATTTGACATACTTTTTTTATGTCTACATGTCTTGTTATATATTTAACAATTCTAATTTTCTAATTAATTACGAAGATATTTAATGTCCAGTATTGGAAACTTGTGATAAATGATAAGTTTCACATTTTTGTAGCTCAATTTCAAAAATTGCTTTAAAAATAAAAGTCTATTAGACGAAGAGTTCATTAGGTTTCGGCCAATTTGTACATAATTGACGTATGCATATCGCTGGAATACATAAAAATATAGAGATATAACCATTATGAACGTCCCAAATACAGTGTCAGAATTAAACGTTCAATTTTAATTCTGACACTGGAATGAATATGTATCTTCCGTTCCTACTTTCTTCTCTATTAAAACGAGGTAATATTACGAACCCGTCGCGCGCCGTAACGATCCCTTTTTCTAACTGGTCAGTATATGTACGGATGAATCATCATCCCCCTATATACGGTTAAGCTGTTGCCGCTACAAAATGGCGATGCAAGGCATTAGCAACGATGGCCGACGATGACGACAAGATCTCGTGGACATGTTTCGTTCCCTCGCCGTCCCTGGTTATCTCTCGTCGTCGCTTCATCGTGCTTATCAGTGAGCAAACAAACGGATTCCCTCTGCGACCTTTTTCCCCCCTCGGAACGTACTATGTGTAATTCGTCCAATCCGGCTGGACAGAATTACGAACGCACGGTCTCGTTGGACTTTACCATCATATCTGACGGTGTAATACAAACAGTATCTATATAAGCTAACGGACGATTGCGTAAAAAATTTTTGTATAAAGTATCATGAAATACCATCAAAAATATCATTCTAGCAGGAAATGTTATCAAGTTCGTGATACAACTGTTATTAATGGAAAGACTCGTTATTGAAAGGATAAACTCGTTCATTTTAGTTACATCTTTTCCGCATTTAAAGAGAGATAAGTCTAGTGATGGCAGAAAAGAAAAGAAGAAACAAAATTGCGGATAAAACGTACAAAAATTAGATTTTTGCATCAAGCTATCGAAGCATCAAGCTGGCGAAAGACGAGTAGCACGATCGATTCTTGCGGCAATAGCAACATGCGAGAATAGCCACGAAGAATCTCGCAATCGGCTGACCAATGAGACGCGAGGGTCCGCCCAATCGGTCGCTCCCGCTGCTGTTGGTGTCCATCTAAATTGTCTGCTGGATGTTCTCCATACAGCTTTTCTCTCTCTTTTTCACATCCCCTCTCTCTCTTTCTCTCCCACACGCTCATACACACACACACACATACACATACTTTGTCACTCTCCGTTCTCTTCACTGCTCGGTGATGACGAACGCAACGTCAAGAAGAACGGCATCGCCTCGTTTGGGACCAAGCAGTAGAGAGAGACTCACCGACATAGCTTCGCTACGATTCCACCTCTTTCCTTCCACCTTCCGTCTCTTTGTGGGACATCACGGCAAGTCATTTCTCTTGCCATCCTCAGTTGCAAAGCGTTTCCCGCCGGTGAAGCGCCTCCTTTCCGAACGTTCTTTCCAACATTTGTCATTGATCCCGCGGATACTTCAAAGTGTACATACCGTATATTTGGTACACGCTATCAGTTTAAGTGTATCGGTCTTTGGGACCGAGTGTATTCAGTGCGTCAAGGTTGCAGGCTGCGAGAACAGAAAAAACCCGGCGCGAGGCTCAAATGCGACACGCAGCGAATGAGGTATCAATGAGTGATCACTTTGCGCCAATAAAATGCGAGAAACGTAGAAAAGTATAAAGTATACTGAATGATTCGTGTCATAATTGAAGATTTTAGAGATTTATTTAATAAAAAATAAAACTATGAATTATTAAATTCATTTTGTTAGCAAGTATATTAATGATATATCGGGAGTTACACAGACCGATTATATTTTTATAAGTTTTTCTGCTATAAAATGTCATTAATAAATTTACGGGCAACTTCGTTTATTGAGATCAAAGTCTAAAATAATCTTTTGTTGATTAATTACGAAACGGGATCTTGACAAATGCTTTGTATATTTTTACGGCGTTTTTAATTTTTTAAAATAATGATAATACAGTTCATGCTATTGTTCTCTTCAATATTCAACGATTTATTGAAAGTTTAAGAAAGACACTTATTAATTTCAGTTATGATTCACATGAAATCGTTATTGCGCGATAAATAGATTACTCCGATTATTTTATTTAAGTTTACAATAACCAATTTTTTTTATTTACTTCACCATCACCATCACATTTATATCTCATCATCACCATCACATTACGATTCGATTTGACACTCGCGACACTAAAGTACAGATTGCGAGAGATCATCGCTGACGAGATATAGCGGAAGTCGCGCGAGGTCTTTGCCAAAGAAAGAGAGCCGTCGCGTGCTCTCGCGCCGGAAGTCGAAACTTGACATTGCCGAACGGAAGTGTGACGCAGGACAAACAGTACCTCTCGCATTTTTTCCCGAGACGGACGAGGTGTGTCCCCGGTCCTTTCCCTCTCCTCCACCCTCTTCACTAAACCCGCCGTGTATTCTCGCCCGCGAGCCGAAACAATCCCGTGTCGCGTGCCTCGAGGATTCCCCTGAAAGAATGACTAATCGAGTCCGCAGGACCGTTAGTCTTCATCCTGTTGATTGACAAACTTTTAACGAAAAGATTATGATTTTATTTACTAGAAATTTATTTAGAGGTATGATTAATTTTTAGTTATTGACGTTAATTCTTATAGAGATTCTTATAGAGATTTTTAAATTGACTTTATACTGTTGCAAAGTTTTTATTAAATATCGAGATAAATCAACGTAATATATATACATACACAAGAGAATATCAAACTTGCTTGCTATGTAATTATCATATACAGCCACTGTATCTGAACGTCTCCTTTCTTAAAAAAAAAAATATAATAATAATAAACTTATTTCTGCAAGATCAAAAGATATGGAGCATATTAAATGTTAATGTGATTCCCTTAATTAACGGCGAATCATGTGCAATAGTATTGCTTTTCTAGAACGAAAATTATCGGTGAGAGCAAAAGTTTTCGCGCAATCGCCGACCTAGACACCAATCTCATCAGTTATCCGGTTGAAAATCCGACATATGACTTTACTTGTACCGTTCCGTTATCGCGACGATAACGCTATTCTAGTGTCTTTGCGCGCGAGTTTTCGCACGTGGCCGCGTTGTTGTCTATCATTAACATTTATACTTATACGTTGCTCAGAAAAATTAGGAGACTGCAAAAATTGACGAGACTCTCGCATTTATCTTTTCGATAAGTTATCCGTAATAAATAACGTAATATGGATCTATTAAAGATAAAGTATTTTTTAATTATTCGCGAAAGAATAAGAACAGAATTATTTTTGGACAGAAATTTAATGAAACGAGCGTAAAAAGACATTTCATCGGAGATACACCGATGAAATCGAAAAGAGTCAATGCACTTGGATATATATAAATAAGATTAGATAATTATATTGCTGCTAAAGTAGAGCTTCCGCTTTACTCAGGACGTGATGAAAGAGACACTGGTAAAACAGGAGATCAAGATGGAATGGGATGGTCATCATGCGGATGATAATTCATCGCAAGTTCCTGGAACGGAAGATCAGACAGCAGGGAGTCCTCAAAGCGTAATAACGACCAGAAGACATGTGAGAACGATTACGACCACTGGTCATATAACGGAGGGAATCGCCGAAGTTGATCCGGAATCGCCAGATTCCAATTCGGTTACCGGGAGTCTTCATCAGGGACTTCAGCAGAGAAATGAGCAACACGAACAAGCTCAACAGCGTAATTTCCAAGAGGAACAGCAACGAACTCATCAAACGCAGCAGCATTACGTGCAGATTTCCCATACGAGCAATGAGGATCAGCAACGATCGACGGATCAGCAACGCGTCGTTTACGCCACCAGCGGACAAGAAGTTCAAGTCGAAGTGTCCGAAGTGTCCTCCGAGGCTATCACACTTACGGTTAAAGAACCGCCCAGGTAAGAATAGTTAAAAGATTGACAGTATGACAGTTAAAGTTAAAAATTGATTGAGAAAACACCTGTATCCAAACATGACTTTTTCGCATGAAGGTATGAGACACCTGCTCCAGACAGAATGGAAGTAGACCGGATATACGCTTACTCCGATGGTCACGAAGTCCGAAGAGAGAACCATGTGATCACCGTACAGGTATCCGATCATCGACGAACCCAGCAGACCGCGCACCAAAGATTTAGTCCTCACGAAAATCATCAGGCGTCCGGGACGAACGCTGGCACCAGATATCACCAGACGTCACCAGTTCTGACCACGACGGAGGACTATAACGCCTCGGCGATCGTTAGCCAGTCAGGATCTACAGTCCATCTCGGGTCACCCGCGCCGCCATACTCGCCGCCAATCGATAGTATACGTGCTGGTCAGCAGCAACAGCTCGTAGCAACGAGTTACGCTGACGCCAGCAGTGTTGTCAAATACGATGCCGAGACCACGGCCGCCGCGGAAACCATCAAGGGTCCCAATACGTACACCACGCTGGAAACGGTCGCTATTCCTCCCACACAAACCGTTCAATACACACAGTATTTATCGGGTGGCGAGACTTTTCAACAGGCACCGACATATAGTTACGCCAAGCCGGGAGATCCCATGATCTTGGCGTATCCACCAGCGACGCAACTTGGCTCGAGAGTTACCGAGGTGAGAAAACACAGCCAGTTATTTGAATGATATATTTTACCGTCTCAATTTCCTTTTATTTTATAATTCAAAGAAATTTATATTTCACTTTATTTTATAATTCATAAATATACTTCGTTATGTAATTTAGCAATTTTATTTTTTCTTTTATTTTATAATTAATATTTATATTTATATTTATATTTATATTTTCCAGTTTTTTTCTTCATTTTTATAAACCGAGAAAATCTACGTTTCACATTCAATAGGTAGAATCATCCGGCAGCGCATACATGAAGAGTGATCCCACGTTAGCGTCATCCTTGGCCGCCACCCGAGCGGTTCCGTTACACTACGAGCAACCTGGTTCACCAAGTTCCCAAGTGACTCTATACAGCACAGGAGCGACGTCGTATCAATACGTGAAACCTTCCTCAGGTGATCCTTACTGGCCAGGCGGCAGCACTCCCTCACCTCCGACTTTGGAGTACGTTCAGGGCTATCCGGGCATCACCGCGATCTCCGTCAGCGACACTACCAATGTGCAACTCTACTCCAACTGCAGTGGCGGATACAGCGTTTCCGCGAGCGGAAATGGGCCATCTCCTGGGTGGGCCACTCTTCCGCTTCCCGGTACGGACGAGGCATTCGAAGGAGCTATCCTATCGGCGGAACCCAAAGAATGTGTTAACTGCGGGGCCAGTATAACGCCGTTATGGAGACGGGATGGCACCGGTCACTACCTCTGCAACGCTTGCGGGCTCTACAATAAATCGAATGGCATCAACAGGCCACCCATGCGATGCCCCAAACCGAAACAGTCGGTTGCACCGGTAAACATTGTGCGAATCATGTGATTACTGTAATCTAATTAGATAATCTTTCGGGTTAATTTTAATTAACGGTATAAGTAATTTGAGAGTCGTTTTCATAGAAAATAACATTCAAATCCCAATTCTAATTACGCGCATTTCTATTTTTTTGAAATAGTTAGTAGTTTCTTTATATTTTTATAATCGTTTATAATAGTCCATAGTATATTACGCAATAAATTACGTATTTCAATTATTGTGCCTTAAATAATATAATATTTAAGTTGCACTCTTTATTTAGCTTGATTGTCCGAACTCTCGAGTTATCCATAATTGACGATGAGTCTTCTTTATTATTTTCTAAGTAATTTTTAACACATAAAAACTTGAATTTATTGAACATAGCGTATATATTGAAAAGGGATGAAAGAAAGATTAAAATACTGTTTGCTGCTCTCACGTTCAAATGTTTAATTGTCGAGTCCGAAATTCGTTTGACCATTGCTAAAATAAGGCCACTGATATTTACCCTGATAAATTTCTCACCCATGAAACGTACATGGCTTCAATATTAAGTAACATTCTCGCGCCCTCTGCCTCTCTCTTCTCTCTCCCTCTTCTCCTCGTTTCCCTCTACCGCTACCAAAGACAGAGGGAAGAGGAACGTTATCTCGAGCAAATAATCACTACGGGACTTGCTGGCGGCTGTTTGCTCTATTTTTCTTGCTCTGAGCACTCCCATTTCGTTGTCTCGATTCTTCAAATACTCCCCGTCTCTCGACGGCGACGCAACATTTTATGTCGTCACCGTCGAAGCGATGATTCTCTCGTGAGCTCTTTTTACGCTTACGACGTGTACATTTTTACTCCCGGTTGTTCCCAATCTTCGATTGTAATTTTAAATTATTCGATGTAAGCAAGAGTTCATCGTTCGTGAAATATGTAACTTAATTTTGTAATTAACGTGTTACACATAAGTTTATTTATGTGAATTGCGTTACTTTGCAATTGATATGCGTTTATGTGATAATATGAAAATGCTTTTTGCATTGCAGGCTAACGTACGAAGGACAGGAGTACAATGTGCAAATTGTAGGACAACCAATACAACCCTTTGGAGACGAAACAATAATGGCGAGCCAGTCTGCAATGCGTGCGGCCTTTATTTCAAATTGCATAACGTAAGTGTTAAAATTACATAATAATATTACATTTTTTCATTCGTATTAATCGTATTTCATTTGAACAAAAATTAAAAAAAAAGTATTTAAAAGTATTTAAAAAGTAGCATTCCCTTTTTCTATCGGTGGTGTTTGCGAGTGATGTTCTAAGAACTGCTATAATGCCCTCTATTCTCGTGCGATATGAAAACACTAAGAAAACAGCAAAGAAATTTTTTTAATTAACATTAATCTTACTGCGAACTGGTCAGCACGTTGTTATCAGTCTTTTTACGATTGCTAACCGCGATAACGACGACTTGATTGTTTTTACGCACGTGAGACGACCCCGTCTCGACGTTGAAGAGGAGCGCAGATTATCGCGCGAATCTGTGCAAACGATCGTAACAACAAATTTAATTAAAACAGAAATCGATGCGCGGATGTACCGAGGTTTTCGATCGAAACGATGCTCGTTCTGTCTACCCCTCTCTCCCCCCCCCCCTCTCTCTCTCTCTCTCGCTTTTATTAGTCATAACATAAAAGTTCAAAATACAAACGATTTCATGCTTTAGCTAGTCAGAGATTATTAAAAGAAAATAATTTTTAGAAATCTCTTATACACAGAAATATAATCAGATTTATGCGAATAGGTGAATAGGCCTTTAAGTATGAAAAAGGAAGGAATACAGACGCGGAAAAGGAAACCGAAGAATCATTCGAGCATCACAAATCTACCCGGTCCTAGCGGTATCCACAAGACCGATATCAAGTCCAGTCTACTTGGTGAGTCTTCGGTGAGCAAGTCATTATACAGTTTATTTTTACTAACACCTCCCATCAATTTACATTTTAACAACTATACGTGATAGACATCTTCATCTTTGAATTATTGTTCGCCAAAAATTTTTTCAATTGACGACAATACCCTGTATAGTTTCATTTTCACGAACATTAGTTGGGCATTCAGCTAATTAGATTAGGTGTACCTACAGGTAGGAGCCAGTAAAATACTTTCAAGAATATATATTTGCATGCAAAATTATTAAGATATGATATGATAGACTACTTAAGTAATATCTTATTACTTAAGCAGTTATAAACACTAGGAATATACCATTGATGAATCATTATATTATTAGGATCATTATTAAAAAAAATATTATTTAAAATGTACAGTTTGGAGCTAAAAATTATTTTTAACCGTCGCTATCATCGACGTGTAAATAATAACTAACCGATTTCTCCGCGTACAAATATCATTCTTTATGGAACGGTCAGCCAATAATTCCCGTCCCCGTCCATCGGCAATCGCGATGGCCGACTAAACACACGATCGCGTGTACATGTGACAGTATATGAAGAAGGGTCGGGGAAACTCCGACAAGAGCATACAAGAACCGATAACGCCTCGGATTGGTCAGAGCTCGGGATGTACTCTGATAGCGGCTAACATATACCTTTCATCGATGGGGGATCAACCCGAAGAACACGCACGCGACGCGTTGAGATATCCGGGAGGGGGGCGTGGAACGTTACCTTCGGTTCGTCGATGTTTTCCTCACACGTAAGATCATAATAAAATTAAAAAATGATCAGCGAGTGATCGGCATCACCAGGTTGCATGTAATCTTCTAGAAAGCTATACTTCTAATCGATTAAAAAATATATTAGCACGTTCGCTCCTGATTGAGATATACTTTTTTATTTACAATAATTAAACTGTTATATGGTATTTCGAATTAACGTGATCGAGCATTATCGCTTATTGTTAGTCGAAGTCCTTCAGATTTGCAAAGCCGGATATATAAAACTGGTGAATAATAATTCGCGAAATTTTACTTGAGTTACACATGCGCTTATCTTTCCCGAAAATCACGCTACGCGGCCTTGGGGCACTTCCTAAGTAAATGACAAAATAAAGATTAAAACCGATTAATGATTGTATGGGCATCTCAAATATTCATCGTGATAAGAAGCTGATAGCTAAACCTTTCCGATTTAAGTATCAAATATACATAATTAACAAAAAAATAAGTGAAGAGACATAAACAAGTTCATTATTGGAAGAAATCTATTATTAACAAATTTAAACGTATCATAGAATAACATCACGAATAGTGCGTTAGGAAACAATTTATATTCATGCATATATTGCTTGTCAAAAGAAGTTATGAATAATGCAAGAGCATGATCAGCGCGTCAAGTGTGGTAGTCGAGTAAAGTAATCATGACCGATATTGTCTTTTTGTTGACATTGCAGTGGACTCGTTGCAGTTGAACATGTACGCAACCGGGGGTGGGGGTAATGGAGGGGTTGAAGAACATTGTCTTCCTGTAGGTACACCAACTGGGACACAATTAGGGCATGCACACTCGCCTCTTGCATTACCTACCGCCGCCGTGTTGAATCGCCAAACCACTCTTACGTAAGTCACGAATCACTTCATTTGCAACGCAGAAAATTTGTGCATATTCCATTTTATGACAGACTATCGTTAATTTCATTAATAAACTGACTATTAAAAAAATTAAAATCAAATCAAAGAAACTTCAAACGGAAAAAGCAAATAAACTGCAAAATAACTGCACAAACAATAAAGAAAAATTAATTTATTTTTGAGGTGTCTCGATACATCATACATTTATAGCGTTAGTTTTGATTAAAAAATTGATTCAAAATTCAACGAAGAATGAAAAGAATAGCGATAGTTCTGAGACATTTTTTACATAACAATGAATACATAACCATTGAATTTCTATCAAAACTTGTGAAACAAACATAATGAAAGAAAAAAATTAACGTTTTAGATATTATTGCTAGATTATTTTTTACTATCAAAATTTAATTTTCTTCTTTATGTTCAAATAAAAAAATTAGATATTAAATCGGAAAAATGGGAAATCTCATAACGTAATAATTATTTATTAATTCCATTCTCCTTTTATTTTAGTGTGCCACCACTAGAACCAATCACTAGTCAATCCAGCAGCGACATCACCTCGGTTATAACATCAACTACAGCTGCCCATGCTGAGAAATCGTGAATATCATTCAGTTCTGTAGAAATCTGTAGGAACTCTGTACTTGCCGACCGTAGCTGTAATACGACCGCATTATCGATTTTATTATTGGTTTCTCAACATCGAAATACGTTGCTTAATCATTAAAAAAGCGATTGTATTAATTGCAAATAGATAGAATTATCCTGTACAAAGAGAGAAACAACGTGTACGTTATAAATGTTTGTATTTACTTGGATATTTAGCGCTGAAGAAAAGCATCTTTGATATGAAAGATGATGTTTAGTGCTAAACGTTCCGCATCAATACAAACCAAAGGAGTCACTTCCACCTCAATATCTAATTATCTAATTTTTCGAATTAGAAAACAATTTTTGAAATTGTGTTCCTATCGCTTATTTATATTTATTCTTAGGTATTAATTGTCATACCTAATCTTCTATTTCAGCTCTTGAGGATTCAGTAACGTGGCACATTGTAACCGATGCATTTATTCTATTCTTTTATTCCTTTGCTTTTTGTCGTGTGATTTTTGCAAAATAAATGTTTCTTAGGATCAATACAATATCGGTAACACTTTCCTACAATTTCTTCTTAGGATCCTGCGTTACCGATATTGCAGACTATGTCGCAGAGAATGTCTGAACTGATACGCTCCCTACCAGGAAAAACGGACAAGAGAAAGGAAAAGAAGACTGCTTTGTGTGTTACATTAAGAAGAAATAAAAACTGTACAATCTTCTTTTTTTTAACTTTAGTTTGAAATTCACTTTTAAATTGATTCTTGTGTCTATTTTTAGATACATATTGCAAAAGACTGCCTTCTTTTTCTTTTTTAGCAAATACGTTTTCCCATTATAACTGTTGATATCAGGCAATGCGATGTACCAGGCATTTCAAATATAAATTTTTAGACAATGCGACATACAACGTATTTTGAATAATTAATATATATTTGTCGTGCAACTTGTACTTAATGTGTGACAGTACTTAATGTACTCCGGTCTGTGTGTCTAATTTTGTAAATATGCATTTATGCCACGTGATCCAAAGAAATATGTATATCTAGATATATATGTGTGTACAGATGTATATTTTAATTTTTTCTCCAAAGAGTAATATATAACGGAAATACATGTACTTAAACATATTTTGCGAATCGTTTTCTTTAAGATGAAAATTCGGTATCTCTCAAAATGGGATCCCTATCCTTTTGTTGCAGAACACTATTTATATAAGAGTACGACTATTCCAATCATCTTGTTGTAGTATCACCAAAATTACAAATTATAAATCAATTGACTTATAAATCATAGATATAGACGTAATAATAAATTCTTAATTTTCCAATAAATTTTTATTATCGCTTTTTTTTAATAACTCGAATACTGTTAACATCATTAATCAAAAAATGTAATAAGCAAGCTGATTGTAATTATATGACGTGATAAAGCGAGAACAAGATTCTCGCAAGTATTTTGCTATATCAGACAGCAATTCATCATATCTTAGCATTTGCCGAAGAGTTCTCGCAGCAAATGTTATGATAACACCTGTTTAAGTAATTATCTACTCAGTGATGTGTAATTTATTAATTAACACATATTGAGAATAGTTATATTTAATAAGCGTTGCGCAACTATTTGTATAGGTATCATATAATAAACAAACATGAGTAACAAAACGCACAGATGCATTATCGTTTATCAAGTTGTATCATTTTGGTGCATTTCTCTGCTTTATTATCATACTAAGATAATTCATTTATTTCAAGTAGTATATTAAGACTACAACAGAAATTGTATGTTCCGCAGCCTTCAATTATGAGTTTACTATTTATTAGTATATAAATATGTTTATTTTAAATATTTTTACTAATATTGTTAGTAAATATGCTATACTAAATTTTTAGTAGATAAAATTATTGAAAAATATGTATTTAGTATATACATAGGTAGAATTTGATAACATTTATGCTAAACAAAATTCAATATTCTTGGTGTGTATACATGCACAAAGGCAAAGCAAAGATCGCGAAACGTAGATATAGGAAAGAAAGAGAGAGAGAGAGAGAGAGAGAGAGAGGGAGAGGGAGAGTGCGATGAAGGTAGAAAGCTGGACCACAGGTAAGAGGTGACAGGCGAAGAGAACGAGAGAGGCGTCATGAGGGGATAAAAGAGAAAAGGAGGCAAAAGTCCATCAGCCTAAAGAGCGGCTATCGTGCCGGCTAAGGGCTATTCCATGTTAGCCACTCTCACCGAGCTCCTTTTTTTCCACCTCTTTATTCCCCTCCGGGGCTCTTTATACCGTGGCGCAAACGTGGCGCCGCCCTCGAGAATCCCTTCCCCTTTGTCGATTCACCGAAAGCACCTCTCTGCCGTTCGATCGCAGTTCCTTCTTCCATCGGGGAGAAGGGTTCTCCCTGTAGTCCCTGATGTCCCCCCCGGTCACCATCGGTTCCCTTCGCGAGCATTTTCAGATTGTAATTTATCGTTTTTGGTATTTCATTACACCATCAAGTTCCACGAAGTTCGGTAAAGTGAGAGTCGGGTGGGAGATGGCGATTTATGGCAGCGATATATTGGCAGCGATTCGCGAACGAAAGAAAAATGTTCCTCAGAGTCTAGGATAGGCTCGATAATGTTATGATCGGGGAAATACAAACGGATCTTGTTTTAATCTCTCGTGATTTGTGCGGAGATGAGATTTCGGGCGATGGAGTGATGCAATTGAAATTAAAAATAAGATTTTTAATGTTTTGTGAGATTCGAGAGTTCGAAAAGAAAATAATCAGATTGTAACTATCTTAAATTTACATAGATTTCGTTATAGAGAGATGGTAACTGTGAATTTTGCGATGTTGAAAGTCCCGTAAAAATATTGCCGGCCGAATATGAAAAATCTTTATCGGTGTAGTAAAGAGTAAGATTAGATAGATGCGCTGCGCCGCGCTGCGCCGCAAACGTTTGCTCGATGGCGTGCGGGCGAAAATATATTTATTAGAAATAAACGTTGGCCAAGATGTAAAATGAAGCAAGAATATTTCCGTCAAGGATGAGTCAAATGGCCGATAAAGTACCGACGATTGAATTGCAAAAATCGCCAATGATAGCCGACGGGACGGTAGAAGCGGCTGATATTTTTCGGAAATGCAGGTGTCACTTTTATCAGAAGACATGCGATTATCTCGGTTTGATGTATTACTCGTCATGGTCGTAAATGACTATATGTGTTTTTTGAACATGTATATTGATCGCTTTTTGGCACAATTGTTGAAATAATATCCAATCTATTCGAAGTTTAATACTTATAGGTATTTAGAAAATTAGAAATCAAATTATATTCAATAATAATTTAAATATTAAATGTCTCGAAAATTCTAATTATAGTGTATAATATAAAAAAATGCATATTTTGTCTAATTAAAAAAATCAGTATTTTTTCAAAAAATTGGTCTAGAATTTTTGCTAGGACATCAGGGATAAGAGAATATATATAATTATTCTTATTTTATCGGAAAAATTTAAGTATTCATACGAAATATGGCAACTATAAAAAATAATAAATTTTGCGAAATAAGTTTTTATCAGTTCATTTTATTTTATCCATTCGTTCGGAAAAGTAGCAATTCGTCACGGTAGTAACTCGATGGTACTATTGCTAAACGGTAAAACGTTGCATACACAATATCGAGGCGGATAAAGTACCTTCCAAGAAATGCACGATGCATGCGAATCGTGGCAGGCAGCTTAATGTACCGATGAGATATCGTCGATCGAGGCTAAAATATCTCAATGCTGGTAGTACGATACTGACCGTGAATCGTATTCGAGACACTTTGCAGTGATAACAGTCAACGAAGTGAGTTAACACCCTCCTCTGCTTCGAACACCGACGTGATAATGCCCGATCCCATTGAATCCTCATTTTCTTTCTCATTTATTCGTTATTTGAATAAATTTCCAAAAATTTATATCGAGCAATTAAATACTCTTAATGATAGTGTTTAGATTTGGAACGACACATTTGGAATCGTAACATGTATAGATTTATTAAACTCGATCCGTATAAGCACAGAGATTTTGAAATTAAAAAAATAATATTGACAACAAACATATTTTTAATATTAAACACAGTACATATTAAAACAAAAATGAAAGAATTAAAATACTTACATCTTTTGTAAGGTAAAATTAGTAAAAAAGTAAAAACTTTATACAAAGTAGCATGTTTCATATATTATATAATAAATTTTTAACTTTACTTATTTTTAATAAAAACTTTACTAGACTAATCATGTAAAGCAATTGTATATGCTTGATATGTCAATATTATATTAACTATTTGCGGAAAAATATAGGAATATATCTAAATTCTAAAGCAAACATGTCAATCGTTTCCAAATGATTTGGAAAAATACTTGGTACTTGCTTACAGGACATTTCTATGCTACGAATAAAAAATATGCGAACATTCTTTAATAGTTCTCTTAATGGCAAATGCATTATATATCATCTGTGCACTGATCGAGGATATTGCAAAATAATCTTTTTATGATAGCGATTTCCAAGCATTCTACAGAATTCTATGTGTACATAAAATCTTAGCGTTTGTGTGTAGAAGAATGTTATCTGTATGTGTAGAGACTCGCGTGTACAAGAATGGCGCCAACATTTTGACGTCGAGGGAGCATCTTGTATCTGAGTAGTACTCTACGATGTTCGATCGTAGTTTGGTCCAGGACACGCTATTAGGCTACATTCATGTATAGATATTTGCATATGTGAATGCGACACATACACACAAATCCCGAACAAGCAAAACGAGACTACAGGAATGCAGAGACGGCAGCTCACGAATAGTTGCAGTATTTAATTTCTATAGGTGTGGCACTAACATTATTTTTATTACTTTTAAATAATGTAGTAAGATAAATTATTAGAAATGTACCTATATGTTTAAAATTACATTTAAAAAATGATTATTCGGTAATTTTCTTATTTTGTCTGGAGAAAAAAACAATTTTTTTCAATAATGGTTTAATTTTATAAATTATTGCATAATAATTTTCGTGATTATATGTACATGTATAACAAATTATAATAAATTATTTTATAAGTAATGGAATAAGAAGAAAGTAGCCGCGGCTGTATTTGTATCCATAAAAATGAATTTGAATATAGTAAAAAAAGAAAAAAGAATATTTTATGGTTACAAATACAGCCGTGGCTACTTACATATATATATATATATGTATTGTATATACATATATATATATATATATGTATATATATTGCAATGTTAAAATATTAATTATTACATCTCTACTTTCTTCTTGCCCATGCTTATGCAGTCAAACCTCATTTAGGGAAAAGTCAACATGTTCATAAAGTCGTGGCAACTAAAGATAATCTTGTGAAATAATAAAAAAGCTATTATTATTTTCTAAAATTGATTGGGAATTTCCTTAATATTATTTAAGCAGTTTGTATAAAAATTATTTTACTTTTTTCTTGAATTTATATCATCAACCATGTTCTAAGGTCATAACCAACTAATTGTTATACTCTCACATTATCTTTATTACATTCTACAACTTTTTTTGTAATATTATTTTCCGACAAAATCTTTCGACATAATAATGTTAAATTGCATTATTATTGCTACAGTCTCATTACAAACGCATTATAATTATTACATCAGTAGTTACATAAACCTTCCTTATGGTAATCTCGAATTAAACAACCACAGTCCAACAATAAATAACGATAAGTTAGTAGGCAAGCCGTCAGTTTATCCCTTTTATCGTGCTATTATTGTTTTAATTTATTCAGCACGAACTTTACTATAATTACCATGTTATCGGTACGTTTGTTGAGCGGCGCTTAGACACGCAGTCCAACGTCAAAAAGTGGTACTTTTCTCTTTTTCTTCATTTCTTAAAAATAGATACGATTTGCCATCACGATTCGCAAGTGTCGACCATTTTGCGACTCCAAGGGTAAACGAATATCTTCATTTTCGGCGATCGTATCATGCATTGGCGCATTAGTTATTTTTATGTTCTCGTTCGTGTTGCATTGCTATTGACGATAG